TAGATTTAGGGTTGTATAAAGTATGGCTATTCTCTTTGTTCTGAACTTTTGGGAAAAAAGTCTCACCACCGCTGAATTACTTCTGTATTTGCATTCTTTCTAGTTTGATACCATTTTTAAATTCCAGGTATGTACTGTAAGCATAGCAGTTTGAGTGAAATGTTACTTTTAAAAAAGGTTGAGTGAATCAGATGAATTTCAGATTTTCTTTGTTTAGTTTGTCCCTCCTTTGCTTTGACATCAGCACTTGATCTGCATGAGCTCATCAGGGTTTCAGGATCATGTTCTCCTGCATGATTTGAGATGATCCAAAGAGCATCTTGTGCTTCAGTGGAAGCAAGAACACCTGACTGGAAAATAAATCTATTAACAGTGCTAAAATATTTGTTCTTTGTTTATGCCATAACTTTTCACCAAATCATAAAACAGGGTTTAAAAAAAAAAAAAAAAAAACTCATTTTTGGACTACATTATACACTTTTTGGGGTGTTCTGCCAGGGTTGAGTTGCTCCTGCCAAATCAAACCAAATGAGTTTGTATAGTCAGGGGTTTTGTCCATCATTCTTAAGCATTGAAGCTGCAACTGGGTGATCGTAGTTAGCAATGACAAATATTGCTGTTAGGTTTTTCCATGATTGTGATATATGGCGACTGTTATTCTATTGTTACTCTGTTTCCACAAAATTCCATTCAATTTACGACACAAGCGATTATGAGGTTATAATAGTGATGACATCAGGGATGCTGATGTGTCTTGCATTTGCGGAGGGAAAGTTGAATTCTGCAGGCTTCTGGACCAGCTGGAAAGCAGATGATGAGTCCAGTTTATAAGGATCATGAATGAGTAGCTTTATATTAAATATTCATATCTCAAATTTGATCAGTCTCTGTAATAAATGCCCTATGTTGAAGTAGGCTTGGCTGTCTTATCCTTTCCTTCTGCAGAATCCTATCCCGTTACATAAAAGCCATTTCAATAGTGCTTGATAAGATATTGTAGTGTAAAACGAAAAATATGGTGCTAACTGGTCAAAGCTATCCTGATTAGCTAGAAAAAGATATCACAATAATATGCTCCATTTTTGTTCAAGCATTAAGGAAGGGGGATAGGATTCTCAAATGTGATTGGTCAAGCAGCTTTCTTTTTTGTTGGTATTTAGTCATGGGAATGTTCACTGTATCACTCTGCTTGTTCGTGTTTTCCGTCTTTCCAGTGTTCCAGACCAAAAATTCCCATCACTTTGCTTCACTTATAAACACTTTTCCAGTCTGTGTGTTGCAAGAAACGTTTGCTTCTCATGGAACTCATTTGTTTTCTCTCATTTCACCTAGGCTGCTATTATTTTAACAACAATACAGTAAAACAGTACTATTGTAAAATATGAATATAATTTAAAATAACTGTTTTCTGTCTTAATATATATTTTAAAATGTAATTTATTCCTGTGATACCAAAGCTGGATTTTCAGCAGCCATTACTTTAGTCTTCAGTGTCACATGATCCTTCAGAAATCATTCTAATATGCTGATGTGCTGCTCAAGAAACATTTCTTATAATTATTAATGTTGAAAACAGTTGTGCTACTTATCTTTTTATTGTTTTCTATTTTTGGAAACTGATACATTTTCTTCAGGATTCTTGGTAACATTGTTATTAAGATCAATTTAATGTATCCTTGCTGATTTTTTTTTCTTTAAAAACAAAAAACAAAACAAAAGAATCTTACTGACGGCAGACTTTTGAATGGCAATGTAAATGGCACACACATAATGCAGGAATGAAGTGTGGATTACATTAAATAGTACCAAAGTATTTTACTCATTTATATTTAAAGAGAACAGAAACCTAAGACTTGGTTATGCTTGGTTGTTTGTACTGTCTGCTGCCTGTGGTTAAGATGGTTTCGAGCTGGATACCATGACCTGGGATCTGAGCTGTGGAAAGGCATTTCAATCCCAAGCTGTCTGATGTGATCCAGGTTGAAATGATGGACATTTAATGAGTTAAGATGAAACACTATGCCCTGGAAATGTGGACAGACGAGCAGCCAAGACAGACTGTTTCAACATATCTGCATCTCCCTTGGCAGGTCAAGATAACAGGTCCTAGGAGGAGTAGATTGTTTTTGCAAAATTTCATTTTTAGTCTCCCATATGTCTTAGATAATGGTGCCCTGACACTTCATGAGTATGTACAGCGGGTACTCCATTATTTTGTCTGAACAAAACCAGAATGTGTTTTGAATCATGTCTTGGGATGCCTCACAGAAACATCAATGACTCTGGGTTTCTGAGCATACATTTTTCCAGCAAATTAACATTTGACTTCCTGACAGGGCCATTGACCAATAGGTGGCAGAAGATGTCAGCATGATGATAGATGGGTACAAGATGTGCTCCACTGTTCACTGATGTAAACCACACACAGATCCAGATAAATGACCAGACTCGGTTGCAAAGTACACCCACTGAACTCCACAAACTTCTACATACTCCCTGATCCTTGTTTGTTTATTAAAAATGTTGGCTAATTAGATTATGCTTTCGTCTAGCAGTGAAAGTGTAGTCTACAGCTTAGTTTAATGTTTGTGTTTATATCCATTCAGAAGAATTCAACTGATTTGCCCCAAAATCAGTGCAGAAGAAAAAAGTTGAACCTGCAGATAACTGGGATTATATTTTGCAGACCGTCTTTTATTTACACTATGCAGTCAGATTGAGTTTACCTTGTTGCTGTTATTCTGAGTGTGTTATGGGAAACAGTAAATGGTGTGGCTGGACTGTGGTGACACATCTTGATGATCCAAAATGAGGATACGGCCTCTTATATACTTGATGTACACTACTGTTCAAATGTTTGAGGTTGGTACGACATTTTAATGCTTTCTTTTAAGTCTCATATGTTCACCAAGGCTGCATTTATTTGATCGAAAATACAGTAAAACTGTGATATTGTGTAATCTAACAGTATTCTGTTTTAATACATTTTAAAATGCAATGATGGCAAAAGCTGATTTTTATTACTCCAGTCTTTAGTGTCACATGATTCTTCAGACATCATTCTAATATGCCGATTTGCTGCTCAAGAAACATAAATTATTATTATTAATAATGTTGAAAACAGTTAGCTTAATACTTTTGTGTAAAATGTGATACATTTTTTCAAGATTCTGAAGAACAGAATTATTTGAAATATATTTGTTTGTAATTTTAGAAATTTATTTACTGCCACTTGAAATTTTGATCAATTTTATGCATCCTTGCCAAATAAAAGTATAAATTTCTTTATAAAAAACGTGCTGACCCCAGACTTTTTGAACAGTAGTGTAAATGAAGATGAGAGATTAGTGGATGACTCACTTTGTGAGCATGTAGGTTTCATTCACAGATAACCTACACCTAAGGCGTAACCCACAGTCAGGCGTCATTATCGCAAAATGAACCCTGATGGGGTGATCAGATCATCCTGAATAGGTTTATTTTGCGATAATGATCATCTGAGTGTATAGCATCCTACTTATTAGTTGACTATTTTCCAAATAAATAAATAAATGGACATTTAAATTATTTTATTACGTGAAAGAAAGAGACCACGGAGTGCTGCTGTGCACAACTATGGAAATCGGTTGTCCGGCAACGACAACAATCAAATATACAGTTTATCAGTCATTATACATAAACATTTGACCGCAGAATGTTAATCTGAATCAAGTGTTCCAGAGAGCCGTGTAATAAAAACAACTACTGTGGCATGGTGAAGATATGCACATCAATGTACAGCACCAAAAAAGAACCATATGTGGACTATAAACCAGTAAAACATTTGTTAAACATTTGAATTGGCAACTTAAGAGACTTGGAGGAAACCCAAATACATTGTATAGTTCCTGAAAAGTCCTATGCATTTACTCTTTGAAGTAAATGACCATACTGCCTTTTCACATCTCCCCAGGAGCCTTGTGTGCTGTTATTTTACACTAGTTTAGCCTGGCAAGTCAAACCAAATGCTTCTTTTCTGGTGAGTGTGATTTATTTCTTGCAGTTTCCGCTAAACTATTTTGTTTTGAGACTTCAAGACCACTTTTTCTACAAACATGCGTCATCATGATCTCACCGGATTTGTCAACAGTTACATGACTTGACTTGTGCTCTGATGGTTATTGTGACAGAATCATTCTTGATGATTTATTTCCTTTTATATTTATTTTGGATGAAGTCAGGCTAAGTTTAGTACTCTAAGCCTAAGGGATTCGTTTGAATGATTTTAAAACTCTTTTAATCAGCACTGTAACAGCATAATATGATTTACGTCATAGATTGATGCTACAAGGAAAGGTGCTATAAGGAAATGGGGAATATTTTATTACATGATCTGTTTTGAGACACCTTGGAACTTTCCTATCAAATTTTCAGATTTTTGCAAGACTGAATCCATGAATGTGGACCTAACATCAGAAAATGAAAGACCTATAATGGCTTTAACCAGGATTGTGTACCATTCAGAATTTAAGCAAGAATGCCTCTTAAACTCCAGTTTAAGTCCTCGGATTGAATTAATTTTGAATTCAGGACGCAAACAAAATTGCCATTTGAATAACCTTTAAACATAAAATCAAGATTTCTCAAGACAAACTTTGAACTCTAGGTTTAAAGAGAGACATGAAGAGAGAGGATAGATAGATACCACCTATAAATATGTATTTAGTTATTTGATTATATTTAATAAGTGAACTTCTGTGGACTAAGATGTAAAACACTTCCCAGAATGCATTACTTGTGTTGGATTTCTTTGATTTAAAATGTCTTAAATTCCTCTTCCTGTCAATTCAGTTCATCTTTCTGTGGGGTTTAGCTAATTAAATTCAAATTCCCACACATAAATTGAAAGGGAGCCAATGTATTGCATTTATTTTATTTTTTTTTATATATTTTTGCTTACTTAGGATTGTACGTGAACAATCACATGGTACACTACATCATTGCTGGTTCCCTCTCTGTAGGAGCTGAGACCATCAAGAAATACTGGAGCCGATATTATCAAGGTTCCCAAGGTGTGGTGTTTGTCCTCAACAGTGCCGCATCAGACGAAGAGATGGAGGCGTCCCGGTCTGAGCTTCTCTCGGCCATGCAGCATCCTCAGCTGTGCACCCTTCCTTTCCTCATTCTCGCCAACCACCAGGATTCACCAGCTGCCCGCTCTGTATCGGAGGTATGGTAATTTTCCACACCAAATATAGCTCTATGTTAAGTGCTGGCCGTCTTCTCTGTGATCTGCCGCTGTTGAGGGTTGCTGGGCTCTGTTTGTACACACTCTCTCAAGTGTTTGGACTGAGCGCTGGGTAGCGTGCGTTTTGGAGAGCGTCCTGTTGCCATGCAGTAAGAGCAGTTGTTTATGGTCAGCCTTGGAAGATGAGCGACCAGGGCTGGGATAGGATGTTGTGAGGAGCTCCCCCTCCCTACTGCATCCTAGAACCAGAGCTGATGATGTAAACATGCTGTGACGTGGGCCGGCTGACTAATAGTCTCTTTCCACATGCTGAGAAAACCCTGTAGAAGTTGTTCTCCTCAGAAGGAAGTATGAACAAGCAGCAGGAGACACTTGAAGTTTTCCAAGTATGTATTAAATCTAGACAAGGACGTAAGTATGACAGTCTGGTGCTGTAGTTATGCATCTGAGACAGGAAAATATCGATCTACATACGTACCATGTGTACATTTTTGCAGGTGGTTACATATTTTGCACTTACATGTGACGTCAGTTTCAGGTGGCTGAATATTTGGAATAATAAGTAATATTAGTACATAATAAATTAAATAAAGACACTTTTTAAACTGTGTCAGCAGTGGTTATTTGAAACAGAATCCACTAGAGTGTCACATATTGAATGTATGGACTAGTTTTATCATTTTTTGTTAATTGCTTAATTATTTAAAGGAAATAAATTGTGGATGCCACCTGAGGTTATGAAATTTTATTCTTCGAAAAAGTGCCCCTAAATCATATGGATAATTTTCCTAAAATTCCATCAAATGAGTCATGATGTAAACATCTGGAATGTCTTACTCAAACGTTATTACCGAAAGAGATGTGGTTTGTCATAGTTTCCACTATTGAATGTTAAGGAAAGGCAGGGCATTGTCTTCTGCGCAGGACTTGCTGATGTCCAGCCCAATATAAACAAGTGGGTGAAGATGGTATCAGGTTAGGAGTTCAAGCTTCTGATCACATGTAGACCACAGATTGAAGCAAGTCAACCCCTCTACTGCTGACTCCTCTTAACCAGTCAGACTGAAGGAACGACCTTCATCCCAGCAGATTCCCATCATTTTTGTAAACCGATTGCATTTCATGTATTCTTGAAGGTGTAGACATTTTACATTAATCCTGCATTTACCTCTTGGCTCCTCCAACAAGAGCTGTTGTCTGTGATGCAATTTACCAAAAACAAGTGGATGTCTGCTTCTAAATCTACTGGTCAATAAATATGACTCATAGCTGGAGAATGAAGGGCATATACAGCGTAGCACAGGGGGCCGCAAGGGGGTGCTATTGTGTCTGCGGGAAAGTTACAAATAAATTCACCAAATTTGACATTACTACAGTTTCAATCTGCTTTCTAAAGACTAAAATCATGAGATGAATCCAAATTATTTTGTCACACTGACAGACATAGTTTTATGTTTCTTTTCAGGTTTATACATTTACATTTAGCTTCCTTAATGGTATTGTACACGAAAGATAATATATTCCAGATAATATTATACACATATTTATATTTGTACAGCATAAATGGGTGTTTATGTGAATAAAATATAGCTACGTTCATATTTTAGCAATAGGGTCACTCGCAAAGACATCAAGCAGATTGTCACTGCTGAGTTGTAGCTAGGGCTGGGCAGTATGGCAAAAAAATTTGACCGATTCTCGATTCTTTACGATTTTTAACTAGTCAACTTGAAAATGTAACTACAACATGATTCAAGAAAATTCTATTCCAAGTGCACCACATGAAGTTATCAACATGATGTAAATGTTAAACAAATCACAAGGTAATTCAGTTTCAAAATGACTGAAGGTATAACACCAGTTCTAACAGTTATAATAACAGTAGATTATTATTAACTATAGATGTTCTGTAAAAACCAACAGCAGCTTTAGCCTGTCACCATGAAGCAAACATGAAATATAAGACATACAGTAGTAGTTAGTTTTTTTTTATTGCTCTGCTTTTCCATAGTTTTTTTCCATTGTAAACATGGTGGACGCGTTTGACTGTTGCACTCGCATCTCTTGCGGCGTCTCATGCATGAAACGGCATTTAAAAGAAGTTAAAACACCGTTAAAAGAAGTTCACTCCCATCCTCTTGCATGTTTTTCCTATTCCACTGCCGACGTTGCATCTTTGTCAATGCAAAAGTGCATTCTGCGTGAATGGCGCCTAGCGATATGAGCGCGTCGTACGTGAGCGGTTAATCACGTGCGCCAACATGTGGTTGGATCGTTTTTTTATTTTTACTGTTATCATTGGCATATTGTCAAAGTGTCGAATTCTAACGGTTAGTCATATTTCTATTCAAAATCGTGATGCCTCGATTTCTAAAAAATAAAGTCGCGACAAAACATTAAATTCGAATTAATTGATAAAATCTGAAAAATCGCCCAGCCCTAGTTGTAGCATATTTGAACTACACTGAAATATATTGAAAGTACAGTGTAAACCTATTTATCCCCACAATAACATGCAATAAAGGCCTTTATGAATGTAAAACTGATGTGATATATTGATCACGGTTGGATATAAATTTCACATGCAGAAACAGATCTAATCAGCACTGACTGCTATAGCTCATGTGGGTTTTGGGTGTTGATTAATGTGTAGTAGTAACTCAATAACTCACTCCCTGATAACCATTTGTCGTTTATGGATTTTGTCTTTGTCAAAGCAGGTCTGCTGTCGAAGTTACGCTGCAAGTTCGCTTACAGTATATACTGTTTATACATGCTCTGTGAAACTGGCCTAAGTAAAGGGAAGAGCATTTAGTCATTGTGGTTACATGTGAAAGTGACACCTGCCTTCCTCCAGTGCGGTTGTGTTCGGTGTGGGATGTTTTGGCTAGCCACCTCCACTTTCTACTTGTGTTTCACTGCTAGACTCTCTCGACTGAAGAGGCATGCATTGTGGTCGCAGTGAGGACTCAGTTGGCGATGAGAGAAGGAGCCTGCAAAGTATTTCAGACAAGCCTGTTGCCAATTCTTGACATGAGGAAATATGCTGGAGAGCTTTTCAAAAGCTTGAGTGCTGATGATGGAAATGAGTATCACACTATACTCGAGTGTGCATTGTTATGTGCCGGATACAAGACAATTACAACACGTCTCCGGCAATGCTTAGGATCTCATAGGATTTTACAGACAACCACTAATGAAAAATAGCAACCGACTTGATGCTGGTCCACTTTCCCCATCGATTTGTATAGTCTATAAGCCTATAGGGTTGTGTGCCACCCGGTCAGCAGATATCCTGATATTGACCAATGGCACGTGTGACATGTACTGTGTGACTGCATGCTGGAGAAAATCTTGTATGTGGTGTTGACTTCAGTCAGCTGGCGGTCAACCGAGAGAGACCACATAGACCCCTCTTTTGTTTAAGCTCCTAAATGTGGTCAGTTGCATCTGATCAGCACAAACCACATTACTGGGGAGATTGCCATGTGTTGGTCTATTTTTAGAAGTTGAAGTCACAGAGAGCGATTGACCTCTTTTAGCTGTTTGCAAACACTTCCAGAGCCACGTGAATTTGGCTTATAGAGGCAGTGAGCCCTGCCACAGGCCTTTTATTTAATTATGGTGTCATCTCTATTCTTGTTGTAGGCATACTGTGTATCCTGTCACAGTGAGGGATCAAGTCCCACACGTCGATCCGCACTTAACTCTGACATGCTTGCCAATCGCTTTGAATGAGATATGGCCTGACTTAGTTTTCATCTGTCCCAGGTTTGAATTGTCACCTCTTTTTTGTTTGATTGCATTTTTAAAAATAAGGAAAACAAAAAATCAAAAAACTCTAAATAAATTAAATATATTAGAATTAATAATTTTAAAATTCAGGACAGAAGGGTTTTTTTTTCACAATTTTTTTCTTCTGTTACTTCCTTGAGATGGTCAAATCAAGTCAAACATAAAAACTGAAAGAACTGATTTCAACCTTCATGCTGTGTGTGAGAAAGTATGGTTGACCCATCAAAGCAGAGAGGCGGAATAGTAAAGCCGGATATCCAAGACAGGTTTGATCCCTGAGAGGGGAACTGGCATTTGTAGTCGCATTTCTCACTTCCTTTTTCCTCGCCTCTTTTTGCCCCACACACTCCTTTTGTTTAGATGATTGTGCATTTAAATGTTTTATTTTGTGTCTTGTTCCACATATTTTTCGAGGCAGAAACTTTTCACATTCTCTTGGAGTTTTTGAAATGCTTACACCTAAACATTTCAAGATTCGCCATAATCAAAAGCTTCAGACAGTTGAATCTTCGTTCAAGCAAACCTTTCAAACATTACTTGCCATCATAAATAATCCAGATGTCTTGTAGAGGAGCTTTCGTGCAGAACTTGCATGCTTAATATTAAATGAAAGATACTAGATGTCTCTGAGTTAGTGTACAAACAAATTGTTTGCTTAACTCTTAAGGCCATTGCACACTGAGTCCGAAATGTTTGCACGTTGAAAAATAAATACTACCTCACGCTGTGTCAATCACGTTTAAACACTGCCTCCGAAACTTTCGTCCATCATAAAAAAATTCGGATCGGGTTTGATTTTCTGCGTTTTTCGCATCCGTAGCAAGCATTTTGAGAGGTGTTTTGACAATTCAGAGCCACCGTACAAGTGAACGCCAAAATCCAGAATGGCGATTGTCAAGTTCATCCACTTCGTCTCGTAGCACAAAGCACTGTAAAGATCCTTGCACACGGAGTTCACAGATATTAGTGGTCTTCTTTTTAATATGTGGCTCTAGTATCGCAAGCATCAAACTGAGCCACTGACATCCTGAAGTAAACTTTGAATCGCCCACGATAATCCCACTGCTCCTTAAGGAGGAGGAGCTCTCCTTCGTCTCTATATCTCAGGATTGGATGGACCCAGTATTTCCTTTCTTTTTCTCTTTTTAAGAATCATCCTCACTGCTTGAAGACTCCATTTAGTACTG